GTCAATTTGGCTATTGAGACTTGTGTATGCAGAATGAAGTTCTCCTGCTGTGTTTTACTTTAAAAATTGCATTTAATATACTTAGTTGTTGCTTTATGAATAACTATTGCTATGTTTAATGAAACAATCTATATGTACTAATTGAAAAGCTTAATGAAACTTAATCTGTATGTTCTAAGTGTAAAAAATGCTCTTTGTTTGTGACTCTTACTCAGAAGTAGACACAGAGGTAATTTGGAGGATTTTTCCTCTCCTATGTGTGTCTGAAATTTTATTTTTTTAAGGAAAACAGGAAGCAGAATAATAAGCCACCTTATTATAGGAGCTAGTCAGCATTGCTTCTTTCACTACTTTTATTCTTACAGCAAAAGTTGTAGATATCACTCTATGCTGGTCTAAGTGTTCATCTTTTTTATTTTATTTTTTTAAAATATGTATTTTATTGCACTTTAGGTTCTGGGGTACATGTGAAGAACATGCAGTATTGTTGCATAGGTACATACATAGCAATGTGGTTTGCTGCCTCCATCCCCTTCACCTATATCTGACATTTCTTCCCATGTTATCCCTCCCCCAACTCCCCACCCCCCACTGTCTTTCCATCAGTCCCCTCAACAGACCTCAGGGTGTGATGCTCCCCTCCCTATGTCCATGTATTCTCATTGTTCAACACCTGCCTATGAGTGAACATGTGGTGTTTGATTTTCTCTTCTTGTGTCAGTTTGCTGAGAATGATGGTTTCCAGGTCCATCCATGTCCCTACAAAGGACACAAACTCATCATTTCTTATGGCTGAATAGTATTCCATGGTGTATATGTGTCACATTTTCCTGTCCAGTCTATCATCGGTGGGCATTTGGGTTGGTTAAAAGTCTTTGCTATTGTAAACAATGCTGCAGTGAACATACATGTGCATGTGTCTTTACAATAAAATGATTTATAATCCTTTGAATATATACCCAGTAATAGGATTGCTAGGTCAAATGGAATTTCTATGTCTAGATTCTTGAGGAATCGCCACACTGTCTTCCATAATGGTTGAACTAATTTACACTCCCACCAACAGTGTAAAAGTGTACCTATTTCTCCACATCCTCTCCAGCATCTATTGTCTCCAGATTTTTTAATGATCGCCATTCTAACTGGCTTGAGGTGATATCTAAATGTAGTTTTGATTTGCATTTCTCTGATGACCAGTGATGATGAGCATTTTTTCATATGTTTGTTGGCCTCACATACGTCTTCTTTTAAAAAGCGTCTGTTTATGTCCTTTGCCCACTT